CCAAATACTATAGACTTGCATGGGCTTTATTAGATATATTTGGAAAATAAAATGGAAGAAATAAATTGTCTCCAAAAATATTGAAAAAATAGTAATGCTTTAGATTGTTGAAAAAATAAGAAATTGCCTGCCACAAAACGAGGGGGGTGAGGGGTGGGGTGGGGGATTGGGGGGTGGGGGATGGGGGGTGGGTCACGGGTGGCCCATTCTCTAAGGCGCCGCGATTCGCTGTGCAGAGTTGCGTCCCTTGGTCGCGCCAGGAACCTATGATTGTGGGTTCGAATCCCGGTTCGCCCTGATCATGTTTCTAGGATTGTCAGCACCATGCCCGTGCTCGTGGATTTCACCGAAGTGGTAAACGTCTGAGACCTGCATCACTTGGGGCCTTCCTCCAACATTAAGCTGACACGCCGTGATATAACTAAAATACTGTTAAAAGAGGCGTTAAACCAAACTCACTCACTCACTCATAATATCAAGTATTGATTTGTCTGGTTCAGAACCGCTTCTCTACAGCTCGCGTGAAATGGCTTTAAATTACTGACCGCCGTGTTGACAACAAAGCAACCTTCATGTTACACACGGTGCGGTCGGGTAGGCGATTGGTTAAAACGTTCGCTCGTCACGCCGAAAACCCTGGTTCGATTCCCGGCATGGGTACAATGCGTGAAGCCCAACGCCGTGATATTGCTGGAATATTGCTAAAAGCGGCGTAAAACCAAACTCACTCACTCTCTCACACTCACATGTTACAAATGTTGGGCTACAATTATTTGTTTCAACTCAGTGACTCAGGGAACAAGGCACTTGATTAACTCACGCTCCCAGAATTATAACTGCAACCATGAAAAACAACAATTCTGTTAAAATAGTTTTTATTGTACATTCATAAATATTTATAATGGTTAACAATGGCTGAAGACAAACACAAACCAGGTGAGGTCCACAATAGATGGCTGTCATAGGGATACTTTTCAGGAGTGACACTCACCGGGACTTTTGCTTACGAAGAACTTTTTTTATACATGAGTCACGATGAGCCTTCATCGAATTCCTTGTTAATTCCTTTTAATAAAGTGTCTCTGTACATGGTTTTCTACAAATACAGATGCGCCTTTCTTCTTTCGCTTTGATGAATAATGTTACTACACATCATAGCTAAAAACACATTCTCCTTATTTCTTTTCATATCTATGGACGTGACACTTAATGAATATTTCCAGAACTTTTTTTTTTTCATTTTTGGGGCCATGAACGTCCATGTTTCCAGCCAGACATTGTTCAACCATACGTCATTCCGGTGACACAAATATTTGCCTATTTCTCCGACAATGTGTATATCGCCATGCAAGATGTATATCACACAAACTCAACACCGAATCTTCATGTTTCTTAAGTGAGTGAGTGAGTTTGGTTTTACGCCGCTTTTAGCAATATTCCAGCAATATCACGGCGGGGGACACCAGAAATGGGCTTCACACATTGTACCCATGTCGGGAATCGAACCCGGATCTTCGGCGTGAAGAGCGAACGCTTTAACCACTAGGCTACCCGACCGCCCCTGTTTCTTAAGGACAAACTATGTAAAGAGTGGAATTTCGAGTGGGTACAAACATAATTTACACTGTCAGGGTTACATTTCGTAATCGACTCAGAAAATATATATCATACAAAAAAGAAATGAATGTATGTCGAGTTCCAACACTAACACCTATTGGAAGAAATACGGTATTGAAATACCTATTGGTACCTAGATTAAACCATCTCTTATCGGCGTGCCAAACACATCAACATCAACTGATGCCATTAAATTATGCTTTAAATTTATTTGGAAACGTAAACCGGACAGAGTAAGACGAGATATTATGACCTTTATCCCATAACATGGGGAATTAAGGTACCAAGAATTAAAGAATCGTTAGCTGCCCAATTTGTTAGATGAATTAATCGGTTAATATTTGATAATCAAAAGTGGGCTGTTCTTTTTAATAAAAAGCTTTCAAAAATAATTCTAATTTTCCACGTGGATAGTCCTTATATTAATAAAGAAATACAACCAAGATTTACAAATATGTTTTGGAAGGACGTGTTTCACTACTGGTCATGGCTTATATCACTGTGTGAGGACGAAATTGGCAAATAATCTGAAATACAATCACAATCTATGTGGTATTATAATCATATAAAAAAGGAGAAAATCGGTTATGTATATTAGCCACATAAAGAAACTGTTCATTGTTACAATCTATTCTAAATTTGAAATATACCAACAATGAAAAGTTTCCATGTAAACTTTTACAGGTGGATATTGAGATCACAAGAGGACGGCAAAACAGCATGTTTAATGTCCATGACAATAACCTTATGCGGGGAACAAGGTCACAAACTCAATAACGGGTACGCCCACCGTGAACAGCGATAACAGCAGTGCATCACCGACGCAAAGAGTCTCTCAGATGGGCATGGAAGGCTTCTGGAATGACTTGCCATATTCCCAGCAACCCTGCTGGGAAATCACGAACGTTATCTGGTGGAGTTGGTACTCGGGGTAGACGTCGCACTATTTCGTCCCTCTATAGGGAGAGATGCGGCAGTGGCAGTTTTTGAACATTGTCCAGTGGAGGAAAAGCCCGAGAAACCCTGACCATGTGAGGATGGGCATTATCCTCTTGGAGTGTCAATCCTGGGGCATGACGTTGAAGAATTGTCACAGGTCCGAGAATCTGATTTCGGTAACCCACACCTGTCATATTGCCCTGCACAGCAACTAAAGGGCTTCTCTGACGTGCACATGTCCCACCTAAATCATCACGGAACCACCCCCAAAGCGATTCCCCTCCACGACACAGGCTTCAGCATGACGCTCCAAAAAGACGTCTGTAGGCACGTTGACGCCTGTCACTATGAGAAATGTTATATCTGGACTCGTTTGTAAAAAACCCAAAAAACAAGTCCTCGACCACAACCGAGGTTGACGGACGTGATTTCAGCACCACTTCTGACGGTTTTGTCGAGCGTTGCGCCAGGATAGGTTGTATGATGGGACGACGTGGTCGTTTCCCGTAAGGAAGTAAGCGGTGCCTGACTGTGTTGGGCTGGATACGCCAAGTCGTGGAATGGTCTGAGCAGTGGTCACTGCAGTCTGGAAATGGGTCAACCGTGTCCATCTGTCCATCTGTGACGCGTGGACGTCCTGTACAAGGGCGATCGGCAACTCCATCACTGTCCTGGTGACGTCTCAACAGTGTTGATATGTTGTTTCGATGGCAAGGGAAAGGCGAAGCTACCTGACGTTGAGGCATTCCCTCACGGACCATCCCAATAGCCTCATGACGTTGTGCAGTCGTGAGTCGTGGCATGATGTGCGGTTCATTGGGTGTGTAATTTTTTAAACGATCAAATGTAAAATATTCAACTTCCCAAATCGACATTAGTTTTTGCCCTCCATATGCTCCACGCACTATATCAAGATGCACATGCACAAACGTGTTGCACCCGGCCATGCCGAAACCACTGACGTCACGAAACGTAGCACACTCATATTGTTCAATATCAATTCATTTCACTAATTACTGTGTTTACTGTATTTGTTTACACATGTAGTTCCAATATATATTTTGATTCCCTATGTGCACAATTTCTCTTTGTGGCTAATATATAACCATTGGTATGAAACAGGAATATGTTTTGTTAACGATGTGCTCAATGATATTTTCGATACTTTACAAGAATTAGGGGATACATATTAATGGAAAAATACAAAATCCTCACCCCACACATACGCGTTATATAAGTGCAATAATCTTGAACGCGACGCTAAACCCCATTTCACCCCAATTATGTATAGACTTATGTATATATATATATTTGTATATATTTGTATATATATAGTCAGTCACATGATTTCGGGGTCTACATTGAGATGTATTGTTTCGTCACGTGGTTCGAATTAACCAATGTAATTGCACGATTCTGAATATAGATATTAAAATAATCGATATGTCACAGTGATAATAATCGATATGTTGATATCATCGACGAGTTGGTATTAATCGATATGTTGATATTAATCGATATGTTGTTATCACTGACATGTTATTAATAGATATGTTGATATTAATCGATATGTCGATATCATCCAGATGTTAGTATCAATCGATATGTTGATATTAATCGATATGTTAACAGTACAAGAATGGGATATAGTCATTTATGGGATTGTCTGGTTCAGACTCCATAATTTACAGACCGCCGTCATATAGCGTGCATTTTGCTGAATATATTGAACACATTCTTACATGTGGCATATGAGAATACTTAGTCTGGTATATCCATATTCACTGACACACAGAATACGTATTCCGTATACCGTCACTGCAATCGCCAATTACACACATACAACTAACTGAAAATGCTTCTGTGTGCATAATTGTCAACAATGATGATTTGAATCCAAGAGCAGCCCATGTGTAAGATGGTTTCGATATAATCAGTCTGAGGGTCGTGTTTAATTATTTCAGATGGAAGAGAGACATGGCAGTTACCACGCCTAGCCAAGTAGACTGTTACGATACATACTCTGTGGAAGGTTAGCAGTCAAATATTGTGGGATTTTATCGGAAAAAAAGAAATTGTCCCCCCAAATTATTGAAAAAAAATAATTATGCTTCTGACTGTTAAAAAAAAAGTTGTTGCAAGGTGTTTTCTTAAATATAAATTGTCAATGCAAGAGAATACCCATCCTAGATTTTCTGCCGAATCAGATACCACTTGGCGTGAAGGGCAAGAAATCAGGCTCACAGTCTTGAATAAAAATATATATCTGGTTTTGAAGCTGCAATATATCAAATCTCAATACAAAATCCCAGAAATCTTTGATTATGGGTTCGAATCCCGGTTCGCCCCAATTATGTTTCTATGTCAGCACCATACCTGTGCTTGTGGGTATCACCAAAGTGGTTACCGTCAGAGACCTGCATCACTTCGGGCTTTCCTCCCACATTAAGCTGACACGCCGCGATATAACTGTAATACTGTTAAAACCGGCGTTAAACCCAACTCACTCACTGATGTTGTAGCTTGTCCTAAACTCAGCCTCTATCACCAACATACTGCAGCAAGATCGCCATCGTGCAAACCACGGACGAAACGAAGAACAAGACAAGGAACAGTCTGTCCATCACAACTGCCACTTTCTTCCAGTCCTCCTCGATAGATTCAGCTGCATCCTTCTCGATGTACCGATTGTTGATCTGCTGAAGGACACCCAGCTGTTCTTCCATCACTTTGTTCAAGGGAGATGCCTGCTGTTGGGAATGTTCTACACCGACGCGTGAGTCATTTCGCTCAAACTGATCTTGGTTTAACTCATTGAAAACTCCCTGAAACAATGAAGAATGTATAAACATGAAGCGATATGTAAACCCCTATCTTAAATGTACACGATGAAGCGATATGTTAACATCTATCTTAAATATACAGCATGAAACAATATGTAAACACCTATGTTAAATATACAGTAACCTTGACACAAAACCATTAAGATATGCTCCTTATTATTTTACAGATAATGAGTGGGAACTTTTCAATATCATACCATCAAACTGTACACAGAGTACAGGCGTACTGGCGCCGGCGCTCGGCATTAAGGGGCTAAAATAGGACTGGTCGATCGGAGTCAGTGTACTGTGCCTGAGTGGGGTATTCACGTTAAACTGAGGCATGGTATCTCAATGGGCTAGCACTATAAAATCGGAATACGTATGGACTAGTACAAGCACACACACAAACACTCATGCACGCACGCACGCACGCACGCACGCACGTACACACACATACTGTATTCTTACCGTAATTCCGTTCAGTTGAGGGTCACCATTGACGTCCTTCTTGACAGTGAAGTCTGACATGTCTGTCTTGACACAAAGGAGGCGCGCAAGCGTACCAAGAAACAGATTCCTGACCCATCGAGGAACAGCAATACCATGTTGACCTTTGAAGTGCACGTTCAGCACAAGCACAGTAAGGATCAAGGAGGCGGCCACCAGCGCCAGAGTTAGGCAGAAATAGATTCCTGTGGAGGACAATGACGTTTAGTAGTCTCATATTAGTCTCCATATATGATGGATTATGTCACTTGTTTAGCTGACGGTAAGATAGGTTGTACATGTATATAGTATGTCGAACATACATGAAGTATTTGTCACCTTTTGGAAAATATTTCTTATGTCATGAATAGTATCAGTAGATCCTTATCGAACAACCATGTGAAATTAAGGGTTATATTTAAATTGGTTTTGATGCCTTACCTACATAAGGGAATGTTTCCGAAGTTGGTGGTAATATACCAGACACAATCAGCATGAACACTGACAGCGACAACAACACGGTGATCTCCAGCGACACCTTCTCCCCGGCGTCTGGAGGCAGCAGGAAGCCAAGAAGACCCACAGCGGAGATCAGTATGCAAGGAAACAGAAGGTTCACTACGTAGTAGAACGGCTTGCGTCGTAGATTGATGTAGAACGTCACGTCAGGATAAGGTTCCGGGCAGCAACCGTAGTACACTACATGTCGTTCCACGGGAACACTCACCAGGTCCCACTCGCTGTTGACTTTATAGCTGGAAATGTCCCCGGCGCTGTCTTTGTTAGTGGAGTTGATGTGGAGTCCGTGGGAGGCCCAAGAGCCGAACTTGAGAGCACACGTTTGAGTGTCGAAGGGGAAGTAGGTGACGTCGACTTTGCAGAGGCTTTGTATGATGGTGGGGAAGTTGTAGGTGACAGAACCGTCTGAGCTGAGGACAAGGCGGTAGTCCTTGAATCCAACAAAGATATTTCCGGCACTGGGGGTAAACGTCAGGGAGGAATTATTGCAGCATGCATGTGATGGTGTATCGATGTAAGTTATTATGATACAATCATGATATTTATGTATATTTATTAACTTGAACGTGTAATAACTGAACCGTAAAATATGATTGTTCTTCTTCTAGTGTCGTTAAACACTACAGTAAATGACATTTCAGTTATAATACGGCGGCCTGTAAGAAATCGAGTCTGGCCTAGACGGAACGATGCTTGAGATATTGAACACCCTTCCACGCTGTCGGAACGCACTATTAACTAAATCACCTGCCCTGCTCTCCTGCCCTGCCCTCCATTGTTTTTCCTCTGGTGACAAATGTAGATAGGCGGGGGTTTATACGCTATCTAGAGTGAGTGAGGTATTGGTTTTGTTTTGCGGCGCTTTTAGCCATATTCCAGAAATGTCACGACGGACGACACTAGAAATGGGCTTTACATGGTGTACCCATATGGGGAATAGAACCCGGGCAATTGGAGTGACGAGGTAATGCTTTTGCCACGGGCCTATCCCACAGCCTTCGGAGTCTTGAGAGGGGTGGCATGAATAACGTATATCAGTATACAACCACAGGTTACTGTGCAAAGTAAAAAATTACGACACATGTACTATGAACAGTGGCATACTGATCTGGACACTAAAAGAAGATCAGAGCTCTTTCTGGAAATTACTTTCCTCCCGAAACGTGAGGTAAGAGTTGGATTTAACGCCGCTTTGAACATTATTCCAGTTATTAGTATATCATGGCGTGTCAGCTTAATGTTGGAGGAAAGCCCGATGTGATGCAGGTCTCAGACGGTTACCACTCCGGTGAGACCCACGAGCACGGGTATGGTGCTGACAAACCTAGAAGCATAATCAGGGCGAACCGGGATTCGAATCCACAATCATAGGTTTCTGGCGTGCCCAAGGGACGCAACTCTTACAGCGAATCACGGGGCCTTAGACAAAACCCCGTGTCCACTCTCCCCCCCCCCCCCCCCACCCCCCCCACCCCCAACACACACACACACACACACACACACACACACACACACACACACACACACACACACACACACACACACACACACACACACACACACACCTCCGAAACGATTTAATGAATGCCTTTAGGTAGAGCTGGTAAAAAGGTAGAGCTGAGTAATACTTACTTGTCATATAGCGTAATATCCGGTGTCCAAACTTTCTCAAATGGGAGGTTAAGTATTGAGATGCCCCCATACTCACTGGCATTCCATTTTATCTGACAGTCGAACCACTTCTACAACTCACAAAAAACCGTTTATAAAGTTAAATTCAATAATGTGAAAGCTGTTCTACATTAACTTTAGTCTGATGCCAATATCGATGTGGAAGATCAGAGCAGCAGCAGCACCAACACTGATCAGATGATGTAAAACCTATGCTAAGGGTACTTTAGTAACCATGGTAACAGATTTGTCACTGGGATAGTTATGGGATGATAAAGTTGTTATAAATAATAAACGACATAACCCTTTTCCAAATCAAGGAAATCGCTTCCATTGCACGATTCCTAAAAAAAAAGAAAAAAAAAGTACTCACGGAAATGAAGAAAAACTGTTTTTTCGATCTCAGATTTTAAATAAATGCATTTACTATTCAAAATATATAAATATTCAAACAACTCAATTAGTACTAATTGGGCCTTGGCACAAATACAGCGTATCAAAGGTTTTTATGTCTTTTTACACGTAAAACCCACGTGCATGTGATTTGTCAGTGGTTAGTGATTTGTCAGTGGCATTGTGGGATAGTGAATCATCGTCGAAATATCAGAACGTAAAAGTAACATATTCCCTTCTCAAACAACAACTTACATGTAATTATTATTATGTACATAAACATAGCTGTTATTTTTATTGTTGTTTTGATAACTTTTTTTCCAGGCTAAATTGCATAATGCCTATAACCTGTTTCTGCCATGTCAATTTGGACTTAGTTTTATTTTTGAATGTTGAAAGTGCCTACAAATTACCCCCTGTAAAGTGCATTTTGTATTAAGCACTGAGATAAAACTAGCAAATCAAGACTAGTACTTTTCCAGTTGTTTTGTTATTTCGTAATGCTTTGTGTATATTATTAAATCCAGCAAAACAGTTTTTTTTCATTTCCATGAGTACTTTTTTTTTTTTTTAGTGTATCACGGGCATGTTTTCGATTCACCGTTAAATAGTGATGACACCAGGTGTTTGCCAAAAGGTGAGTATATCGTGCCCCCACCGGTGGCTCACCTCTTGCTTTTTGAGCTATATTGAACGATGTAAGATCTTCGATATACATGAAGCTTCTTATAAGTAAAATCTTGGTCAAATTCTCTTGCTTTGATTTTGCCAATCCGAGCAGAAATTCGTTTCAATGACAATGACGATGGCAAACACAATCTGGATTGTTCATTTGGTCAACAGACCCATACAACACACATTTGCTTATATGATATAACGTAAACATATTGTTATATAGACTGGTTATAACTTATTGTTCTATATTTGCATGGACTTGGAACATGTTGTACACACATATAGGAAGCATGAATATTGTTTTCTTATTATTTGATAAACAAACGCATGTCACGAAGAGCGTATATCATATTGGGGACGGTGCATGTTCTTCATTTTCTAAAACAGAGAAATTAATGAAAAGAATGCCCTAATTATGTACAGTACCTTTCCTAAGTTTCTGACTGCCCAATGCATTAAACCCACTTCGAAATGTAAACACATATATATATATATATATATATATATATATATATATATATATATATATATATATACTTCGATGTCATATATATAGTTTTCGCTTTTCAAATAACTTTCATGGAAGGATAGAATTTTAACGATGGGCTATTTATGAGTTTGTAATGCCTTGTTGTTTATAACAATCAGTCAATTTTTGTTTGATGACATCACGAAATAGAGACATGTTACCGACATCTTGAGCAATGCACACCTCTCCAAAACCAAACATGTTTTATTCTCAGTTTCCTCATAGATTTTATCACTGAGGTTGTCCGGCATTTCACATATTGTTTACTTAGTAAACTGAAATCTCCGTCAAAAGCAGGGACCATCTGTACCATAGGTATCTTTTTATGAATCACTATCAAATAGTCACGATACCAGTTGTTCTCGTAAAAAAAAGTGATTGTATCCTGTCCTGCTGGTGGCATCGTCACAAAGACCTGAACTATTTGATTAAATTGTTCACCTGAACAAAGGCAACGGCAATATATGGAACATGTTAAAATACTCAAATACTCTACAAAAACAACCTACCAATCGAATCCAGGCGTTGACAGTCAGTACCTGTTTAGGCTCATTCTGGAATGGAACATACACAGCGGCGTCATTAGGGTAACACAATGGCGTCAAGGCATTCGGGATAGTGTACAATGATCGTGGAGTAGTTATGGTAACCTGATTTATATACTGATCCGCTAACTTTGATTTCTTGGCGGACATAATCCAGATGGCTAATGTTTGTGTTTGTGCGTAAATGTAAATTGCGCGTAACATATAGCCTTGATATATATTGATTACCACAGCAGCCCAAGTAATATACTCACGTACATGTATCTATTCAACGTGGCACAGGAGAATGGAAGTTCAGCTTGGGAATTTGAATAGGTGGAAAACATTTCCTTAGGAAGGTTTGAAAAAATGAAACAACCAAGTCATGTATTTGTATCCACGGAAGGCAAAGTATACATTATATGAACTGATAATTCTACTCTATGAACAATAAAATCAATTCGTATACTAACCAGATCAATGACCTGTCTGATAGCGATTCCAATTTGAACTTCTATAGGAACATCCTGTCCACATATTGGCCGCATTTCGCTTTTGTAATTGGAAAACAGTTTGTCCATCAATGCCGTCTGGTTGACACAGGAACCTGTCACTGTAAGACAAAATATTATGAAATTTATTGAACACAGATATTGCCGTGGAAAGGTCACTGCATGCCCTTTTTACGAAAAAAGATACTTTCAACTTTGGGTCATTACAAAGTAAAATAGTCAATGTTGTACATTGTTTGAGTAGTCCATTGCAAGTGTATTTGGTCTGTGTAGGCCGTTTGTATATTAGTGACAGCCAGTTGAATGTGATAGGTGTCCAAATGGACACAGATATGATGAAAAAGAACGAGTAACGAGCAGTCATCAATTATTTGACTTTAGAGAAAAGTACTCCCCAAGAAATTCATGACCGCATGTCACAAGTGTTTGGAGATAAGTACCCTAGCTATTCCACTGTTAAGGCTGGGAGAACAAGCCTTGATGATGACCCAAGGTCTGGACGTCCCTCAATTTCCAGCAATGACGATTTAATCAAGGAGATGGAGAGACTCATACTGTCAGATGGACGTATTACCATTGCCGAACTTGTGGAAGACACAGGTCTAAGATATTATTCATGAACATTTACGGATGGATAAGATATCTGCTCGTTGGGTGCCAAAGTTTCCAAATTCTGATCTTAAGGACAAAGGAACAGACATTGTCAGAGAAAATTTAGAGCTAATTGAGGAGGATTTCGTCAAATCCAGAAAGACATTAGTAACGGCAAAACATTGGTCTACCATTATGATCCGACTCAAAACATCAATCCATGGAAAGCAGGGAAAGCAGGGAAAGCAGGGAGATTTTGTTGAAAAATAAAATTTAAAACACTTTCACAATTGCTAGTTTTGTGTTTGACCAACCCTCGTAGTAGTTTATTTTACCACAGCAGATGGTGAAAAAATCTTGCACACTGCAGTAAAAGTATGAAATTTAGCACACATGTAAAACTACCTCAGAATAATTAAATTTAGATATGGTGCCATTTCTTATTTGTCCTCTGGTGACCTTGGCGGCCATTTTTCAAAATGGCGTCCATTCCATATGTTGCAGCGACAAGCACAACATATCTGTGGACCTAACCGCTAAATCATTTATGGTGTTTGAACACACGTATGAGGTCCCAAAGAGTTTTACAGAAAACATACAAGCTGGTCATTTAAACTGCATGTATGGACATATAATGCCTTTGAGATGGTATGAATGCTAATTTTTTCCCAAAGGTAGATGGCGTATCCAAATATGTCCTCTAAAGTAAAGTTGATTATGCCTATCACACAGTCTGTTCCTGTCGTTTAATAAACTGACTGGTCAAAGTAGGATATTTGTCAAGGAGACGAAACTGAGAAGCTTTCATGGCCATGTGATTCTAAACGCAAAAAAATTGTCAGACACACTACAAGTTCATTGTCGACACATTTGCCTTCAATAGCGTGTATGACCAGCTGCCTCAATGTATGCTGTGATACGCCGCCTCATCGATGACGTCAGTCTTCTGATGACGTGGACTGGAATCCGTTGCCACTCGTCTCTCAGGGCCTGCTGCAAATCCTGTCTGTTGACGGGAGGCTGATGCGTGCTCTAATCTGTCTGTGAAGATGGTCCCAAAGATGTTCAATAGGATTCATATCGGGTGAGTGGACAGGCCAGGGCAAAACGTCAACGTTCTGCTGGTTTAGAAAGTTCCGAGTCAGTCTTGCAGTATGGGGCCTGGCATTGTCGTGTTGAAACAATGTCCCCTGCTGTTGGTTTTGTAAGAACGGAAGCACAACTGGCTGCAACACTTGGTCTCTTTACTGCATAGCGTTCAGGTTTCCCTGTATAATCACCAACTCAGTCTTCTGATCTCCACAAATACCGCCCCACACCATGACATCCCCCCCCCCCCGCCGAATGGATGGACCTCTCGAATACACGCCGGAGCCAAACGTTCCCCTCTGCGTCGATAAACTCGTTCTCTGCCGTCATTTCGAAACAAGTTAAACCGACTTTCATCAGTAAACAGCACTCGACGCCAATTTCTCACTTGCCAGCGTCGAACCTGCCTCGCCCATCGCAGTCTCAGGCGTCGATGTTGAGCTGTCAGTACCATTCCTCGGAAAGGACGATACGCTCGGATTCCAGCAGCACAAAGTCGTGGTAGTACTGTACGTTGGCTAATTGGATGTCCCAACGCTGTTGCTGCCGTCGCCGTCGCCGTTACGTTTCTGTTTCGCAAGTGAATGAGCCGTATCTGACCGTCTTCCAGTGGTGTTGTCACTCGGGGTCGTCCGATTCTAGGCCTGTCCTGTGTCCCCCCTGTCTGCCTGTACCGTTGAATCAGCCTGGCTACTGTCAATGGTGTACAGTCAAACCTTCTGGCAATTTGGACCTGTGTTGCCCCCATTTCGGCCTTACAGATGGCTCTCTCTGCTCCTGTGACTGTCCTGGCATTTCTTTTGTGTGCTTTCACCACGTGTGGTTATACCCTTCAGACGAACGCATTTATACAGCTAACATGCACCTTTCACCATTTTTATGTCACCACACGAGCCCCGTCAAAAGGTGGCGCGTTCGGGTGAGGTGTTTTTTGGTACCTTTTCCATGGCAAACATATTCCCAATACCCACTTTCCACTAGTTATCGCTGTTTTTAGGAAAATTACAAATTGCCAACCTTTACTTTCTTTTGCCGCTTAGTTTATTTGTGTTTCTCAGCACAGAAGCTATCACTACTCAAACCGACGAGCAAGTCATTAGCATACTGAACGAGGATGTTGTCTGCCTGGAACAAAAGAAGGACGAGCAACTTGCACACACGAAGAATCAGACAGCCGACCTACGGCCCGTGTTGCAGATGCAGCTAAGCAGTACAAGAACGTTCTCATCCGTACAGGACCGCCTCCGTGGTCCAGTGGTAGAGCCTTTTGATCCCGGTGTCTTCATCCCCGGCTGCGTCATACCAAAATACGTTAAAAAATGGAACTTGTTGTTACCCTGACTGGCGCTCGGCATTAAGGAGCTAAACAAGGACTGGTCGGCTCAGAGTCAGTATACTGTGTCTGAGTGGGGTATTCATGTTAAAACTGCGATATGGTATCTCAGTGGGTTAGCACTATAAATTGGCCTCAGCCTCCGGCAGCTTAAAAATCCCTATGCGTTCATAATGTGTTATTGATGAGTGACTAGTAGTACTACTCTGATACAGGAAACTGACAGTGACAGTATATCTGACTATAAGGATAAACCCTTAAGTTAATTTAGTTACCATAGACAGCCGCCCCCAAATTAGTGAATCAAATTAATACAACTAAAATAGCCCCCCCCCCCCCCCCCCCCCACACACACACAGACAGACAGACAGACAGACAGACACACACACACACACACACACACACACACACACACACACACACACACACACACACACACACACACACACACACACACACACACAATCCACACACTCCCTTCTGTATCCACATTAAACGCTTATATAAGCATAGAGAACACCCTTTAAAATGAACAGTGTTGGGCATAGATATATAGTGTAGACAACATCAGGGGTCTCACGTCCATGTTACATCTGCATCAATTCAGCCTATTTTCATGGTCTGCCACGGGTTACTGAGTAAAAAATGTGGACACATATAATTTGTACAGTCATCTCCCAATTTGTTGCCGAAATAATTGTACCTCTTCTCCTGGAGTAATGAAAAGACGCCTATTGTGACTAGATACTTCAGGGTTTTATTACTTAAGGTACATGAGTGTATACATTTATGTATATCACAATGTATTTTCATGTTTTTGTTTTGCAATATCCATATACTAAATAAAACACACTCAAATGGCAAGGTTTATATATTTAGTCATAAATATCCGTCATAAACGTCATCGTATCCAAATTGCGTAGATCGATGCACATGTCAATCACTGGACTATCTACTCCAGACTCTATTATTTACAGCCCGGCGTCATATAGCTGGAACATTGCTGAGTGCTACGTTAAACAACAACAATAAAAAAAAAATAGTATGTCCGTCATGGTAGTGACTCTCTGAGTCACTGACTCATTGTTGTTGGATTGGGGCGGTTTGGTAGAGTAATGGCGAAAGCATTCGCTCTTCACACCGAAGGCCCGGGTTCGATTCCCTACATTGGTATAATGTGTGAAGCCCATTTCTGGTGTTACCCACCACCGTGATATTGCTGGAATATTGTTTAAAGCGGGATATAACCATTTTCAGTCAATCAGTGATTGGAGGTGGATGACGACACTAGGATGAGATATTTCAAGTGGTATTGTTCGGTGGCCCATAAGGGACATGGAGTCTGTTTTTCAATATTTTGATATTTAACTTACTTTTATCATAACCTTTTGCAAATTAACACAATTTGTCATACAAATATGTGGTAAATCATGTATAAAAACAACCGAAAACATGGAAAATGTACTTCCAAGTAGCTATTGAATCGCTGAAATTTGAAGCGAAAATGTCAAAAACAAAGCGAAAATATCAAAAACTACGGTGGCCCATAAGGGACATGGAGTCTGTTTTTCAATATTTTGATATTTCACTTACTTATATCGTAACAGAAAACTATTTCCACCGCGGTAGAAATATTATCACCGCGGTGGGAATAGTTTTCTGAATTTTCATTTTAGTTTTTGACATTTTCGCTTTTGTTTTTTGACATTTTCGTTTTTGTTTTTGACATTTTCATTTTAGTTTTTGACCATTTCGTTTTTGTTTTTGACATTTTCATTTTAGTTTTTGAAATTTTCGATTCACTTTTCAGCGATTCAATATCTTCTTTATACATGATTTGTATGACAAATCGTTTTAATTTGCAAAAGGTTACGATAACAGTAAGTGAAATATCAAAATATTGAAAAACAGACTCCATGTCCCTTATGGGCCATCGTAGTATTGAAACGACATCTCAGTCCGACATGAATCATATTACAATCATTAAAACTCTACCTTTTGAAGGTACCATGAGTGCATTCTTTTAAACCATTTCGTGTCCCATGCCCCACGATGACACAAGCGTTTTAGCGCTGACAAAAGATAGCA